TGGAGTATCTGAAAGCGGAGAGTGGTAAAGGTGTTTTGTTATGTTAATGAAGCAACTTTGGGGAAAGCACCAAAGCCTGGGGCCTGGTTGCTGGGAGAACCAACCATGTGATTAGAGGGTTGGAACTTTCAGTTCCTACCATCCCAGCACCCTCCTCCAGAAAGGGTATAGATGGTATAGAGGTTGATTCAACTTCCAGTGCTAATGATTTAATCAAACTACGCCTATGTAATGAAGCGTCCATTAGAAATCAGAAGGACTGGGTTTGGAGAACTTCCTGGTTGGTGAACACATAGAAATTTGGGGGATAGTGGCACACATGGAGAGGACCTGGAAAATACGTGCTGTTTTCCTGTATGCATCTCTTTCACCTCTTCTACAATAGCTCAGAGATCTAGTAAGTAAAACATTTCTCTGAGTTCTGTGAATTGCTCTAACAAATTAATTGAACCCAAGAAGTGGTTTGTTGGAACTGACAGTTTATAGTTGATTGGTCAGAAGCACTGGTGATAACTTGGACTTGTGAGTGGCTTCTGTAGTAATAGGATAAGGGGACAGAGACTGTCTTGTGGGACTGAACCTCTTAATCTGTGTGATCTGATACTGTCTCCAGTTAGTGTCAAAGTTTAGTTGAATTGTAGGACACCCAACTGGTGTCCAAAAATTGTTTGTGTTGTGAAACTACCCCTCCTACCTGCCCCACGTTAAAATTTGATGAGCAGAACCTTTTAACTTGGTGTTGTCTAACTTGTTAAATTTCATATATCCTCATAGTTGTATTGATATTGAATAACCAGTAGATATTCAATATCTACCTAATATTTAGATGTATTTACCTAACATGAGATCATTAATATTTTCTCCAATACTTCAAGGTTCTTAATAGTTTTACGTTTCACATTTAGGTCTCATCCACTTGGAGTTATTTTTTATATATGGTTCAACATATGGAAATTGGTTTTTTGCATATAAATGTCTAATTATTCTAGCATCATAATGAAAAGGCTATTCTTCCCTAATTTAATTATCTTTGTATCTCTGTTAAAAATCAGTTGAGTGTACATATAGATGTATGCACTTATATGAGTGTATGTTATATTTGTATGTATGTGTGTATGTATGTGTACATGTAGGTCTATGTCTGATTCTTATGTTCCATTGGTTTCTGTGTTATCCTTTCAACAAAACCATGCTGCCTTGATTATTGTAATTTTATTGTAAATTTTGAAATCAGGTAGTGAGTTTTTAACTTAGTTTTCCTTTTGAAGATTGTTTTGGCTATTCTAGACCTTTGTCTTTCATAAATATTTCAGAGTGACTTTGTTGGTTTCTACATAAAATTCTACTGGAAGTTTGAATGGTATTATATTGAATCTGTAGATCAGTTTGGAGAAAAGTTACATCTTAAGAATATTGTATTATATTTTTAGCTATGTATTTCATAATGTGGATGCAATTATAAATGATTCTTTCAGTAAAATTCTGTTTTTAATTGATGCCTACAAAATTTAAGTTGGAAAATAAAGTACAGCAAGCTATGTACCTATAGATTGTAGAATTAATATAATTAGTATAATTGTTTGCAATTAACCAGCAAATGAAAATATATAATTTAAATAACTGGGAAAAACACCCAATTTTCTGTCCTCATCCATTTCTGAACTATTTTCCTGAGCTTTTCTTTTTCTTTAGCAATTGATTTTTATATATTGATCTTGTATCTTAAACCTTTTAAACTTACTAGTTTTGGTAGCTCTTTTATTAATTTGTTGGGGTTTTCTATGTAGGTAATCAATCATATCATCTGTGAATAAAGTTTTATCTCAGTCCAATTTGTTTGACTTTTATTAATTTTTGTTGCCTTTTTTATGCTGGTTAGGATTTTTATGATGTTAAATAGGAGTGATGAAAATGGACATCACTACTTTATTTCCAACTGCTACTTTGGGGGCATGCAGTCTCATACCATTATCTTTGATGTTATCTGTAAGTTTTTTTTAAGATGCCCCTTATCCAGTTGAGGAAACTTTATTTTATTCCTAGTTTGCTGAGATTTTTAATCATGAATGGATAATGATTTTTTTCAATTTTTTTTCTTCAAATTTTTTTGTTTTATTTTCTCGAATTTTCTTTCTTTTTAAATCTACTGAGGTCTTATTTTTTTCTTTTGCGCATGTGGCAGTGTTTTAGTCTTATTGAGCCAGCCTTACATTCCTGAGATAAACTCTACTTAATTTAGAGCATTTTGTCTGAGGCTGGCCCTGTTTTTTCCTTCTTGTGTTGTCACCAGTCTGGGACTGGGCATCTTTCAGGAGCAAGGCCCCAACACTGCTACCTCTTACTTTCCATCTAGCATAGAGTGGCTGACCAGTGAACATTTGTGGCCACTTGAAAGCAGTCATGTACATCAGTGCTGCAGCTGTTGAATTTTCGCCCCTTAGTGCTCCAGAAGAAATGGAAGTGTTGTGCATGGGTCGGGTCTAGTGTCAGTGTAGGTAGAGGGTAATCTTTCATTTTAGAGATTATTTTAGAAACGTAACTTAACTTTGGTCTGTAGGGCACTGCTTTCTAATTATTCTTTCCTTTTTCTGTGGGTTGCGGTTGGCACAGTGGCTGGTAGGCTTGGCCACTCAAATATATAGATGCCAGCCCAGTGCTGGTGCTCTAAAAGGACTTGACTGACCTCTCCTTTTACAGAGGGGTGTGCCTGTGTCAGGGAGAGGTGGAGCAGGAGGGGCCAGGCCTGTCTGGCTCCTAAATGTGCTCCCTCTTAAGCTTCACATGTGACCTTCGTGTTTGTGGTCGTGATATGTTGACCACACACTGCCATGATAATTTGATTTTGTCAGGCATATGCAGAGTCCATCTCAGCTACTTTTCCTCACTGATTGGGAGAGCTGGCTGTGTGGCTGATGGGCACGTTTGCAGCTAACAGACCTGGCTTTGAATCCTGCTCAACTAATTATTACAATAGATGGTTGACCCTGGAAAATTATTTAACTACTTTGAACTTCCATCCACTCATTTTTAAAATGATTGTTTTGAGGATTACATTAAATACCACCCCCCACTCTTTTTCCTGGCCTGGGGGAGATAAAGGGAATTTTTTTTTTGAAGGATATTAAGCAGGGAGTGGTGGGCAAGTCTATAGTGAAGTGTAAAATAAATTGCAGATATGATGGGAAAATCCACTAGAAGACTGGCGTGTGGAGAGAAGGTGTTGGTCACTTTCTCTCCAGATGTTTCTGGACTGAAGGGTGGGGAAGGACATCAGGACTGAGTCTCTGATTTCGCTCTGGAGTAAGGAGGACATGACTTCCAGGCCAGGGTGATGCCTTGGATTGCTTGGTCCTTTTGTTTTTCACTATTTAGTCTGGCTCATTGGAGTGGCAAAGGGGTTCTGGAACTGTGCCAGACCTGGTTAGTGGAACTGATTGCATAATTGTCTGGGATCTGATGGTGCCAGGCCCTAGGACTTGGCGACAATACTCACCCTCCTTTATACATGTGTAGGACCTCACTGCTGGCAGAACATTTTTACCCCATCCTTTCAACCACCCAGTGCGGTAGTGATGAAGATAGTGATCCCAAATCCTATCAGAATGCTCCTACTTTTTTGTGCTCTCTGAGGTCTCTGCTTTCCTCTTCTAAGGCTCTAGACTCTTGAGTACAGACTTTAGGGGAGGAAGCCCCTCCTCCTGCAGAAAGTCAGTGCCCACGCTCTGAAGGACTCAGACTGGGGCTTTTATTAGAGAGCTCATAAAACTTGGTGAGGATCAGAAATTAGATCCAATCTTGTCACCCTGAGATAATTGCATATCATTGTACCTCAACCAACATTAAAACACAGATCTCCTTGTAAAACTTGGCATGCAAAACAGGCTACAGTTAGACACCTGCCACATAAAATATTCAGAGTTATCATTGAGCAGCTGGGACTACTTTTCATTTTGATAATGCTTTTCAACTTGCTTAATGTTTGCACATATTTTACATTTAGTCTTTGTCAATCTTATGATGTTATTTTTGATCCCATTTTATAGTTGATGGTTGAAGGTATAGGGCAGTTAAAAAGAATTTGCCCAGTTTTCTATGGTCACAGTAAAGTCACAACTCAGAGAGCACAAAATAGCAATTGCTTGCCACTTCCTAATTGTGTGGCTTTGAACAGATTTCTTTATCTCTGAGACACAGATGATTCAGCTATGCCATAAGGTTTTTGTTAGGGTTAAACAAGATAATCCAAGTGAAGTGCTTGGCATAGTGCCTGCAATATAGTAAAGACTCAGGAAATGATAAGTCTTATCATGATACTCCCTTACCTGTTCCACAATTAATGTTTCCAGTTTTTATTCCATTATTATGAGTAACACTGCTATAATTATCTTTGTCTAAACGGTTTATATTTTCAGTTGTGTCATTTCCTTGGATTATATTCCAAGAGCAGCATTACCAGGTTGAAAGGTATGATCTATGATCCATTTTTTTTTTTTTTTTGCTTTTGTTTCATATTGCCAAGTAGCCTTTTATTGGGATGATTTCCCTTTAACAAGCTGCTACTAGACCCATGAGAGTGATCCATCCCCCGTGGGTGGTACTTCCCTGTGACCTCTCAGCCCAGCAGCGGGCCCATCAGTCATTCTTAATGAGGGTAGAAAGACCAACAGATTGTAGACTAGTTGGAGCCAACCCTTATAAAACAGGTTATGCCTACAGCAAGACATAGACTAAGCTGGTCAGCAAATTGTACTGAGAACACTGGAAATGACTGCTCTCTCACCTGCTTTCTGCAGGGCTCCATGGGATGCCTGCAGGCACTGTGGATACACTCAGGTGGATACACATGTACACTGTAGGTGAACATGAGGAAGTGGTGTTGGGGAGGTGGGAGCTGCTTCTGAGCTCTGGACCTGGGATTTCAGAAGGAAGGCTATGTATGAGTGGCTCTAGACTATTGCTAGGTCTGCCATAACAAAAGTACCACAGACTGGGTGGTTAAAACAACAGAGATTTATTCTTTTACGGCTTTGCAGTCAAAATCAGGGTGTCAGTAGGGTCATGCTCCCTCTGAAGGTTCTAGGGAAGACTCCTTTCACCCGTGGCATTCTTTGACGTGCACATGCCTCACTTCAGTCTCTGCCTCCACCTGCATAATGGCCTTTCCTCTTCTGTGTCTGTGTCCACATGCTGTTCCTCTTTCTGTGTCCTTATTTTCCTCTTCCTGTAAGGGCACCAGTCACTGGATTAAGGCTCACCATGACCTCATCTTAACTTACAAAGATTCCATTTCCAAATCAGATCACATTCACAGGTGGAGGGGTGGGGAGACTTACCAGACTTTTTGGAGGACACAGTTTAACCCACAACAATGGGACTAAGAAGAGAAAATGGAAAAATGTCAATTTTCCATATCACAGTCTGCCTGGTGGAGAGTGTGTGGATGGAGATGTTATGGACTGAGGTAGTGCCGCTGTGGGGATGCTGCCAGTTGTCAAGGGCCAGTGCTACTGTTTTTCTCCGACTCCCCCACCTAGGGGACTGGTGGTCGATTATGTACAATGAATCATCTGGATGATCAGGTGGGTATGGCTGGGGTGCTGCAGCGGTGGAAGAAAGAGCTTAGTTACTGAGGGAAACTGGCTTCCTAGGAATCAGTGGAAGGTTAAGAGGAAGAGCACGGAACTGGGCAAGTATGCAGAGCTCATGTTAAGTCTGAGGCCACTTGGAATACCATGACTTCATTTTCCCCACACAAAGCTGAGGGAGCTTTTGAGGCCCTTCCTGCTTTGACATCACATAATTCTCACTTGAGAGGTAAAGTTTAGAGAAACCCAAGCTCCCTGACCCTAAGGACCGCTGTGACGTCTATCTGGATAATGGGTTGTGAGCAACTAACTTGTAAGGTGCCTTAGGAGGAAACAGCCAGATGGGGCCCAGGACTTAATTTCTATATATGTTGTGGAGTGGGTCAATATTCTTTTTTTCCCCTTTGTGGATATCCAGTTGTTTCTGCCCTATTTACTGCAAATAAAATGCTTTTCTTTTTTGTTTAGGCACTATTTTTTTTAATTTTTAAATTTAATTTATTTTTTTAAGATTATTTATACAAGATGTGTGGGAGGGTGAGAGGATTCATCAGAGACAGAGCAGGGAACAGAATAGGCAGACTGATGAAATACACTGCTGAGGGGAGCAGCGGGTGAGACAGGAGAGGTCTGCCACGCCATATGGGCATCTCTGTGGCCGGCGGGGATCGAACCCATGCTGCAGAGGCTGCGAACAGCTTCATAGCGCTGCGCTCAACCACCCACACCACCAAGGAGGCCCTAGGCACTGTTTTTTAATACTCATTTTATAGATGAAGAAACTGAGAGATAAAGTATCTTCTTCATGGGTTCTCAAACTGATAGAGACAGACCTGGAATTTGAAACTAGAGCCTATATTTTTAATGCTTGTGCTCTGTTTCCTTCTCGTGCTGAACTTTGAGGTTTTGGCCTCAGTGCAGGCAGCTCAGTGGAAAGTGTTAGGGGAGAATTCAGGAGGAGGGGGGGGGGTTGAGTTTAGTTTGCTATAGAGTTGAGAGACTGTGGGATACCTGAGTAAGTTACATTGCTGAATGGGTGCGGGGAGGATAGAAAAGTAAGGGCAGAGTAAGTAGGAGGGAGGTAGCTAAGCAAGGGAGGAGGGAGCTGAAAGGGAACATTATTAAGCCCAACCTGAACTTCTCCTTTTTCATTTACCATCCAAGGATTGTTACCCTGTCTCATCAACACTGGTCCAGAGAGCACATGACATAGGCAAGATCCAGTTCAGATCGTTTGGATCCATGTGGTAAGGGTGACATGAATGAGAACCCTGATACTGAAGAGGAGAAATGGATTAAGTGGGGCAGGCAGAATCAGCAAGCATTGTGATCAGAGTGTCAACTCTTTGTCAAACAAACCTGCTTTATACCTTAATCCAGCCCTGAAGCTTACTATTGACCTGCAGTACATCACTTCATTTCTGTGCATTTTCCTCCTCTGTAAAATGAGAATAACACAACCTTACTGAATTAAATCACAGAATGGACATTGTAAGGCACTTAGCATAGTATCTAGCACATACTAAAGACTCAAGATATAGTGGGTTAGTTCTTAAGGTTCAGTGTTTTAAGCATGTGGACAGTGCCTGGAATGGTGGAATCTCAGGGAAGCTTGCTAAATGTCCCCCAGAGACACAGAATTCTTCAACTTAAGTTGCACAATTTGGCAGTTTTAAAACATGTGGCCAGGAAATCAGAATAAGAAACTGGCATTGTGAACTGAAACTGGTCTCTAAATACTCAAGGTGGCACAGGAGGCCGTCCAGATGGCTGATGCTGAGCCAACATAACTTTAAAGACTTCCTTGGGAAGGACATCACCTGCTGGTCTAGATTCTGCATGGGGTCCCCACAGGCCTGGGGCTGCTGATTGGACAGGGAGGATGCTGCAGCTCAAGGTGAGCAGAGAGCTCCCAGACTGTGAGTAAGACAGCCCCTTTGCCTGTGGAAGGGACGGCACTTTCCATTGAATCATAGAAGCCTGTATCTGTCTCTGGTTTTGATGAACATTTCCTGCAAGATCTAGCTATACTTCTAGAAAGGCTTTTTTAAAAATGGAGTTTGTGTGATCAACCTTTTGAATCCAGTCCACACCTCAAGTGAACATCATGCAGAGTCAATCAGGTATTCTTGGGTGCTTACTGAGTACCAGATTCTGCTAGTTCGGGACACTGCTCCTGTTCTCTAGGAGCTCACAGTCTAGTTGGGAAGGTCACACACACACACACACACACACACACACACACACACACACGGTGAGTGCCAAATGTAAATGACCAAACATGTGAGAAGTCCATAAAGCAGCCTGGGCAGAGCATAGGAATAAACCACCTTCTACAGGATGTCAAGGCAATGATACCCATTCAAGTCCTTTAGCATCTCCTCCAAACCCTCACCTTCCCCTTCCACTGGTAATAACTAGCAGTTCTGTGCTCACTGAAAAGATGGCACTGTCAATGGATTAAATAAATGACTTGTGATGACTCTATGAGGTGAGCTCTGTTAGTACCCCTATATCTCAGAGGTAGAAGCTAAGGGCCAGAGATGGCAGAAGACTTGTACATGGTTACACAGTAAGAGTGCTGGGTGTGAAGCCAGCAGTTTTGATCCAAAACCTTCCATGTTAGGCCTGTAGGGTTCATCTGACTAGTAATTGGTGGCATTCCTCTTTCAAATATAGAGCAGGAGGATTATTGACATTTCTTTCATGATCTTAATATACAATTACATGGTGTCCCAACTAGGTTTTAACTAGAGCCTTCTGTACATTCCACCCTGGCACTAAGTTCAGCTAAAGTCCTAATTTCAGAAGAGGAGGCAGCAAGACTGAAATGCTGTGTTTATTGACCAATTTAGACTGTCTCGGGGCACAGCTTTGAGGATTAGCACACACTGTGGATGAATATTTTAACAATCCATGGCAAGATGTCAGCATCTTGGACTTAGACACAAGAATTATTCTCAGACAGGGGTTTTTTTTTTTTTTTTCAGTGTCATAAATTTAACCAGCTGGAATTCTTTTCCATCCTATTCAACATCCTGAAGTCAAGAATTTTGCTTTTTATTGGGAAATCTGCATTTCATTGTATAGATAGAACACTATGTCCTTGTCTCTCTGGGTCTCCGGAGAAGCTGAGTCTTTATTGCAGGCACTGGGTGTCCTAAGGGCTCAAATACCAAGTCTGTTTCAAGCACGAGAGCCCCAAAACATAGCAATACTCTGAAAAATACCGTGAGAGGCACACTGTCCACTCTAATGCAGCCCAAGTCTTTACATGAGAGCACGGGCAAGCACCACAAATTGAGGAGAGGTACTGCTTCTCAGAAGTGCAGCCTCCAACAAGTCTCTGGTCAAGAGCCCCATGCTGGGCCCGCCAGGGGTGGCCACTGTCATGCCCTCCAGATGGGATTGCAGAGTGGGAGGAGGGGTGGTTTAGCAGACAGATTGAAGTCATCACCCAAGTCACTGATGGCCTTCAAAATCATCCTCTTTAGTAATATTCCAATGTGCAAATGTACCCCAATTTTTTTATCCATTAACCTGTTGAATGCTACCTATTGTGGCTAATCCTGAATTGAATTGTTGTAAGCATCTGTGTACATTCTTTCGTGTGAACATAAACTTCTCTAGGATAAATACCCAGTTATTGGGTTGCAAGGTCACATACAAGTAAATGTCTAACTTATTAAGAAACTGACAAACTGCTTTCCCAGATATTTTCATTTTTAATATTAATAAAAGCTGACTGTACGTAAAAAAAAAAAAAAAAAAAAGAAAGTATGTACTTATTCCAGTGATGCTGCCATGGCTCAAAATGATTTTGGAATTTTAGTTTTAGAATCACATTTACAATTTAATACAGTTTCTTCAAAAAAATTAAATAGAATTTTGCTTTATTTATTTAGCCATTTCTGCAAATATTTAAATCTCATTACTTAAAAGGTTATATAGGTATATAAACTTATTGTTCTACTACCTAGGAGAAATTACTGGTAAAAATTTGAAGGCCACATCCTACCAAAGCAGTCATTTAAGATTTGGTCAATCTAATGGGTAGTCAGTGCTATGTCATTCATTTACACTTACCTCTAGTGATATTGGACATTTTTTTTCGTTGCTTGTGACTGACTGTTCTTGTTCTGGGCTCTTTTTTTCTATTAAAATAAATTGTCTTTATTTCTTGAGTTATAGAAGCTCTTTCTTTAATACTGATATTTGGACAGTCTTTTTGAACATGTATTAGGTTTTTGAAGTTACTACCATGTGGTATGATTGAGTCAGGCTAAGTTGACTTCAGCGATGTTATTTTAATAACCATGTGTCCGGGAGAACTTAAGCCTGTCATGTACTGGAATCTGATATAATCGGTTAGACTGTGTTGGAGTTATGATGAGGATGAATCATTGATTGACTACTTAAAAAAATGGTGAAAACTTGATGAATACATACCTTAGGTGTTTTAACTTGATATACAATTATTAAATAGCTAGTTGCCAAACTTTCATTATGGGATCAGAATCTTTTCTTTGCCTGTGAGCTCCACCATGGGAATCTGTGTTATCGTGGGTGCATATTGCTCTAATGCATTTTCTACACTTTCAGTTGAAATATTTGTAATGTGGCATGAAACTTACACACTTTCAAAGCAATTGGAATGCAGAAACTTCTAAATTTTTATGATTTTTCCTTCAGTTTTTACAGTTGATTCATCTATACTTAATTCAACAGTGAATTTTTTTGCAATTCATCTTTATCATTAAATTTATCACAGAAACATATCTAGTATAGCCATATTTTATTTTCTATAATATTCAAATTAATTACTTTATATAATAGTTGAATCATTTAAATTGTATGGTATTTAAATCAACTATGATATTTAAATCATGGATTTAGTCATATAATTTGCATAATAAATACAATTAGCACAAATGGTTTGGGAAAAAACCAGCTGACTTGTGCAAACAGCTAATCTGAAGGGGCAGAAATGTGCAGATGGATTAGAGAATAAGGTACCAGCCCTGGCAATCAGTGCAATATGGCACAAATCAGTATCTTTTTTAGAGGCAACAGAAACTGTTGACTAAAAGGTTGATCCTTTCAGTGGAGTTTATTTAAAGGGACTCTAATTAACATTTATTGAGTGCCAAGTGTGCTAAATGCTTTGCATGCGTTATTTCATTTAATCCTTACAACACCCTATGAGGTATAAATACTAATATCTTCATAAATGACAAAACCAACAAAGAGCAAAGTTTTTTAATTTATTTATTAAAAATTTATTTTTTAAAGATTTTTATTTAGTTATGCATACAAGAGCTGGGGTACAGGCCAGAAATGCAGGGGGTGAGAGGATTCACCGGAGACAAAGTGGGGAACAGTACAGGCAAACTGACTGAAACACACTACTGAGGGGAGCAGTGGGAGAGACAGGAGAGGTCTGCTTCTCCATGTGGATTTCTCTCTGGCTGGCTGGGGATCCAAGAGGCCGTGGATTGCTTCACAGTGTGATGCTTAACCCCTTGTGCCACCAGGGAGGCCCAGAGGTTTTTAATTTATGCAAAATCATGTAGGTATTGAGTTCCAGAGCCAGGATTTGAAAGTAGTTTGATGCAGACATTGTAGTCTAAACTATCATAGAAATAATTTTTTTTAAGATTTTATTTTTATTTATGCATACAAGAAGCTGGGGCATAGACCAGAGATGCGGGGCGTGAGAGGATTCACCAGAGGCAGAGTGGGGAACAGAACAGGCGGACTGACTGAAATACACTGCTGAGGGGAATATCGGGCGAGTCAGGAGAGGTCTGCTGTGCCATGTGGGTTGCTTCCTGGCCAGCTGAGGATTGAACTCTCTGCTGCAGAAGCTATGGATTGCTTCACAGCGTGGTGCTTAACCCCTTGCACCACAAGGGAGGCCCCATAGAAATAATTCCATAGAGAAATCCAGAAGGGACAGATATAAAATCTCTGTGTGTACAAAAATAGAGGTAGGGATTTGAAGCGATTGGGCTGTAACAGGTTAGCACCATATCTTGAACTAGTGAATGGGCCATGCTCTTGACCTTTCATACATTTCCACCCAAAGGATGCATATTCAGTTGGAGGGTACGGAAGGATTCTTGGCATACAGATGAGCCGTGCATATTAATTTAAATCTGATTCTGGACTCACCAACCAGAATTTCCAATAACTGTGTTTCATCAAGCCTATCAGAAATGGGTAAATTAGAGATTGTTTGAGTTTTGTCTAAAGACCTGCATCAAATGCCTAAAACTTTTGTTAGAGGCATACCTTGGCCTTCTTATTAAGGAAGGACACACAAGTTAGTCAAGGCAGTCTTTTATTAACTACTACTGAATTGTCTAGAGTTTATTTTATGTGCCAGGGACCCAGGTGAACAACATACAGCCCCCAAGGACCTCATGAAGATGGATG